AAGAGAGACAGACAGACAGACACAGAGACAGTGAGAGGGAAAGTGAGAATCACCCCCCAGGAGGATGCAATCCCTTCTCCTCTCGGGATCTTGGGCATGCACCCACACATGCTCAGCGTGAGTTTCAAGCCACTGGGTCTGGGACTTGAACCACGGTTGGCCAGATGGAAGTCCAGCTACATAACTGCTTTAGCCCCTGCTAGTCCACAGGCTCAAGCTCTTCATCACCACACTGCGCTGCCTCCCTGCCTTCTTTATTTTCATGCTGCCAAGTCATTGGTGCCGTGGAGAAATATCCAACGGTGTAAAGGGAGATGGAGTAAGAACTGTCTCCCTGGCAATCTCAGCCTCAGGAAGTTACCCCACAGACCTTGCACAAGGGAGAACAGACACACACACAGGAGATTCGCCACAGCACAGGCTTGGGAGCAACATCAGTGACCGCTGATAGGGGCCGGGCGAATGCACGGTGGGGCACCTGCATGGCATGATGGCGCCTCTGCTGTATAAGAAGGAAGGAGGTGCTGCGTGAAGATCTGGACAGGAGGTGCTGAATGGCGGGCATAGCCCCCACCACCTGGATACTCTCTGGATATGGACGAATGAATGAATGGGCTACTGAGGTAGAACTGTATATTTAGAGTCAAGCAAGACACAAAGAAGAACCTACAGCCCATGATGATGGCTTACAGGGAGCTCACTGAGGGTGGGGCTACGTCTTCGTTGGCACAGGGCTTGGTGAGTAGCAGCACAAGTTTATTGAATAAATCAGATGCGGGAAGACTGGCCAGGTGTGGATGGGCTCACCTCTCAGAAGACCCTTCTTGGCAGGACCACCTATTTCATTTAATATTTTTTATTGGGCACCTATCCAGGCCAGCCCATGGCAGCCAAGTGACAGTCAAGTCCCTGCTCTTGTTAGTTCTGGTGGGGTAGGCAGACCATGTACATGTGATCAACCAAGGAACTCCGATTGTTTTGCTAGGGAGAAGTGTGTGGGAGGGAAGAAAACAGGATCCCATAAGAGACAGTCACTGAGGGACCCACTTTAGATAAGGTATAGGGAAGGCCTCTGTGAGACCCGAAAGATGAGGAGACAGCAGAGCCAGGCCCTGGGAAGAGGATCCCGGCAGGGGAAGACAGAGCGTGCTGAGAGCCTGGGATGGGACAAAGCTACCTTTGCTCATGCTTCCTTCCAGAAGGCGACAGGTGGAAAACTTACTCTTCTGTCTCCAGAGAGTTGACACGAGCGACGTAGTTGCTGGGGATGTAGCCTTCTTTCTTGGTGGCCAGGGATCGAGCCCTCCACCACTCCCCAGACCTAAAGGACAAGAGGTAGTAAATGGGTCAGGGCATAAGGGCCATTCTCTGGTTCCCTCAGGCTCCCTAGCCTTGGCCTAGAAAGCCACCTCCCCACCCCCGGCCCTCAGGTGAGGGCAGGGCCATGGTTGTGCCAGGCCCCAGCATATGCTCACGATTAGACAGGGGACTTTACCACAGCCCCCACTGTGCATTTGCAGGTCTGGAATTGAACCCTGCCCCTGACTTCACAGCTGTATCCCTGATCTCTAGTCCTGCTCTTCACTCCTGGACTTCAGCTTTGGCCTTGCTAGTCACCAAGGCAGGGCCCCGTGTCCATGGGGGACTTACAGTGGTTTGGCTGGGACTGAGAGTAGGAGGGAGTGGGCTTAAGGACTGACCATGCATGACCACTCCCACCCTTGGGCCCCAGCCATCTTGGGCACTATACCCACTGATGGTGAAGGATGTAGGAAACGAGGTGGCAAACTCAGAGTCAATTTTTTTTTTTCCCCCTAGGACATCTGCACTCACGAAGTTGGGTGGTAGAGTGAGAAAACATCCCTCCATGGGGCATGGTCATGCTGAAATCCCTTCTCCATTTCTCCCTCCTTTTGCAATTTTGGACTTGCCCACACACATGCTGGGCATGTTTTTCAATCCACTGAACCATGGTCCAGCACTTGAACCATGCAGTCGGCCCTGAAGAAATCAGTCACCTTAACCACCGGGCAATGGGCAGGCCTCAGTCCAAGGATTTCTGAATGCAAATCAGCTCATCACCTCCGTAGAGTGTGGTCTACAGGTAAGCCTGCAGTTTCATCCCAGGAGCCTTGGGAGACTTCCCTGAGAAAGTGCTTTCACCCCCTCATCCCTGCCTGGGTGTGCACCGTGAGTAAGGACAGGAGCCCCTTCATCAGCCCTTCCTCTTCTGTTCCAATCTGGTCCTCGATCAGGTCCCCGCTGACCATTTATACCCATTATAAGACGGTCTACCATGTTGTTTATTGACAGTAAAAGAGAGCACAATGGCGCACTGGAGGTCAGTTCGTCTTAGGGCGAGTGGGGTGGGGACTCACTCCTCTAGGACGACCATCTGGTCCCCCTTCTGGAAGCTGAGGTCTTCGTGGTGAATGGCCTCATAATCATACAGGGCGACCACGATGAAGTCCTCAGAACCTGCTGGGAAGAGGGACACAGGGGATGGCATGTGTCTGAGGTCACACAGGATCCTGAGTGTGTTCCCACAGCTCCGGGCGTTCCTCGTCCCTGCACCCGGCGCCCAGCTCTGGACCCGCGGACATGTCTGCCTCATGGCATAAGCCTGAACGTAACTAAGCATCTTACCGTGCTGGGTGTGATTCTAGAGTTTAAAGCATTGGGTTTTGTTTGTGTTACTACATGAAATGCAATAGCCTGTGTAAAGTACTTGAGGTGCAATTTAGGGGATTTTTCAAGGGTGGGGTTTTTCAAGGGACTCTTAGCAATTTTGCCTCCAGCTTTGGCTCCTCTACAAGACAGTGACTCGTCTGCACCTGCAGGCCAGATACTTACCATCTGCAGACCCTGGGGGGTTGCCGTTGCTGCTGTTAGAGCCCTGTAGGGAAGAAACGGAGTCGGGAGTGAGTCTGACAGCGCGTGAGGAGGGCTGTATTGAAAAGGATACCTAACCCCTGTGTCACAGGACAAGGAGGCCAGAAAGGACTGGCATGTGTCTGAGGTCACACAGGGCACTAAGGACAGAGCCAGCACGAGGGTCCAGGTTTCTTGAGCTGTGGCCTTGGTCCCTGGTCTTGAGAATATGCAGAGATGTGGCTTGACCCTCTCTCTTGACATACAGATAGGAGTTGGTCCAGATCAGTGTTTTCCAAGGTGTGTTTGCTCCAATACACACCGTGATTAGAGGCCCACTGTGTACGTGAAATAGTCTAAGTGTCCATCCAAAGGGGAATCGCTGCCTAAACTGTGGCACTCTAAGCAGCTTTTTTGTTGTTGTCGTTGAGAGGGTTTTGCTACAGGGTGCATGCGCTTGACTGAGAGACAGAGAGATAGAAAGCGAGAAATCACCCCCCAGGGGGGATGGCCACGCCGTGATCTCTTTTCCTCCATTCTCCTCGCGGGATCTTGGGCACAACCGCACCCCCGCCTGGTGTGAGTTTAAGCCACAGCGTCCAGGACTCAGCCGCGGTTGGCTACATGACATAGCCATTACACTAACTGCTGGTCCCTCTAAGCATCTTTTATAAGGGGAAGTTGAGCTTCATGTCTGATATAACTTGACCTCAAAGATACACTGTTGTGAGGGACCAGCAGATGGTGTAATGGTTACATTGCTGGACTCCCACGTGGTCAACTGTGGTTCGAGTCTTGAACCCAGCAGCTTAAAATTCACGCCAGGTATGTGTGGATGTGTGCCAAAATTCCAAGAGGACAATGTGGTGTGGCCATCCCCCCAGGGGGTGATCTCTCACTTTCTGTCTCTCCAGCGAGTGCATACACCCTATAGCCAAAAAAAAAAAAATCCAAAAACAAACAAACGAAACAAAAGAAAAGATACACTGTTGAGTGGGAAAAAAAGCTGATTTTGCAGAATAAGGAATATACAGGGTCTTCAGAAAGTTCATGGAAAATATGCATTTAAAATACTGTGTGGGGACTGGCAGGTGGCATGATGGTTAAGGTGCTGGACTACCACATGGCTGACCATGGTTTGAGTCCTGGACCTGGAGGCCTGCTTTCTCATTCTCCCTCTCTCTCTCTCTTTCTCTCCATCTCTCTCTGGTCAAGTTGAATAAAAAAATAAATAAAAATAAATAAATAAATACAATAACTATTTAAAACAACACAAAAAAACTGTGTGTGGATTTTATAATTTTTTGCGCCAAAATAAACTTGTACTTCAATTCCATTTCTCCACATTCAATGTATTTATATAAAACACACATGTGTGATGCACATGCCCTAAATGTTTTCTGTGGACACATACTAGCTACATGTGAGTGTAAATTCATAGAAAAAAGCTCAAAGGGTCTACACCAACCTGGCAACAACTGATATCTCTGGGGGATGTGGTACTTCCAGAGAGGGAAGCGTTGGTGTGTAGACACAGTGGCTTTAAAAGTAACTTGTGATTTTTTTAAAATCAATTTTCAAGGAGAGTGTATTTGTGGGCTTACATAAGTTAACACTGATTTGAAGAAACAGGTTTGAGAAACACTGAGGAACACATTTTTGGGAGCGATTCACAAAACCTGTTCCAATGGTTTGCAAAGGCTTTGAGGAGTCCTGCAGGGCAGAGCTTGCTTCCCCCAGTGTGTCTCAAACTGATCTGACCTGGGAACACTTTCT